AAAAAAAAAAAAAAAAGGCTGCTTAAGAAAAATAGATCAAGTTTTGCTTTGAGCGAATCTATTTTTCAATTAGCTAAGTGAGAGGTTTCCAACTAAAACACACAGTTAGCGAGTAATCAGGACAGCTGAATTGGGGTGTAGGCCTGGACTTTGAATTTATGTCCTGAACCCATTCTCAGTTTCTAAGTAGAACTGAGTTAAACTCAGAGCACAAGTTGTTCAACGTCAAGGGTCAACTTCTATTGGTTCCCAAATCTTTGAGGAAAAGAACTCAGTACATTGTAACTATTGATTCATTAGTCTCTGAAAACTTTCAAAGGGGGCCTTCAGTGGATCTTTGAGATTTTAGCAACCAAGAGACCCAGATCTGGCTATCAGAAAAAATTGGTCTTTAAATCGTTTCTGAATGAAATTTGGGGGCCAAATTTTCAGTTTGATTAGCAAAAATTGAAAATCATCCAAACCAGACAACATTCCGATTCAGGTGACCAAGTCGAATCGGGCTCCATCAGATTTTCAATGACTGATTTTTTCAGAAGTTGATTACCAGACCTTTCTTTCAAAGCACTTCTGGGTAGGTTCCAACCTTTACCTTTTGGTTAGCAGCTGAGCAAATGACTGTTCCCACCGCCCAGTGGGGTTTAAGATCCTTATCTATTACATTATTTATGTGCTAGATTTTACCAATTTGTCTAGTTAAAAATGTGTATATAGTCCAAAAGCCCAAACAATTATGTAAATAATCTTTTCAAAATGTTTATCCTAAAATTTTACTTACTCAACCTCATATAGTGCTTATATTTTTAATCCAAGAAAAAATTTTGACCTTCATTGGAATATTGTTGTTGCTGTTATTATACATGTCATAAATTACACATTTAAAGATACTTTAAAAGGTATAATGAGTTCTATCAAACATATTAAAGAGTTCCACTCTGGTATGGCACCGTAGGATCAGCACAAAGTCAGCAGTTCAAAACTACCAGCTGGTCCTCAGAAACCCTACACAGGGCCACTATGAGTAGGAACTGACTTGAAGGCATTTAACAACAATATCAAACATATTATACATATCCTGGTGTAGCTCTGCAAGATAATGCACTGGACCACAAAATCAGTTTGAACTGCAAGGTCAGCGGTTCAAACTCACCAGCTGCTCCTCAGGATCCACTCAAAGGAGCTTAACAACAATCAAACTTACTTGTGTTGAATAAACTAGTTCAAGACCCTTGTTTCTGATCATGTGCACAGGCTGCCCTCTAGTGTTTATTTCTAAACCCTACCAAGTTTTAAATCATATTCTTAAACTCAAAATGTTAGGTTAATAGGATTAAGAACCATGTCATCAAATTATTAGAACAAGGCTAAATGCTTGGCACAGATGAAAATCAGATCAGAGAAAAGTGAAGACCCTTCCAGAAGCTCTTGGCAGCTTCACTGGGGAAATACTGCAAAGCTAGTGGTAAATATACTGCATTTAGAAGTTTTGTTTGGTAAATAGGATCTTAATAAAAAGAGAAGAGTTAGTTTATATAATGTATGCAAAATGTGATAGCTTTATAACTACTAGTATAGATGCTATTTTATAAATTCCCTAGGTGTACTTGTTATTTTAAGACATTCCTAATGTTGGTTAAATAATGGAGAGTTTTATTTTTATATTATTATTGTTTGTTATTCAAATTAATAAATATATATCAATGTTTAACTTCATTAAAGCATAATTATTTAAATTTAATTTTCCCTAGTAAAATTTTAAGCATTTGTATTTGAAATATACATAAGCACTAGACTGAAATATATATAAGTACTGAACCACAAGGTCAGCAGTTCAAGTCCATCAGCTGACCCTTGTAAACCCTACACATGGTCACTATGAGTGGGAACTCACTTAACAGTCAATAATAACTACAACATAAAGCAAATTACATGGGAGCTCTGGTAGTGTAGTGGTTACGAGTCGGGCTGCCAACCCCAAGGTCAGCAGTTCTGCGGGAGAAAGATGAAGCGTTCTGCTCTGGTAAAGATTTACAGCTTCGGAAACCCTGTGCAGGGTCACTTAACAACAACAAAGCAAATTACATTTTAAAGGAAATTCATTATCTGAGAAGAAAAGACTTTAACTGTATATTACTATTCACAAGCTTGATGAGTTTTACAAGTGTTTTATATGAAAAAAATGTGCGGCTATTTTTGCTTTCATAAAAATAAGTAGTGAACCATCTACTTTTGAGGACTCAGAACTCATTTGAGGACTCAGAAGTTAAAAAAAAAAATCCTTCTTGACATAATTTGAACTGATTCTATATTTAGGGAAGTTTATGGTTGATGTGCAAATAAAATGAGGTTTGGCCTCAGTGTGTCTGTGAACCATACTGCTCACGGCCTTTCATTTCTAGTCTTGGAGACAGCAATGGTACTTGAGAGGACGACCTTATTTAACTGTCAGAAAGAATGTAAGTTAAATAGGGATTTAGTATATTTTTTAAACTTATATTTCAAGCTTCTTAATGTCCCAGGCACATTAGCATAAATTGTCTAAAGTCATAAAGAAAAACAGACAGAAAAATGCTTTGGAGCTCCATGTGTTTTCCATTGATGCTTGTAGAAAAACCATAACGGAAGACATTTGATGAGGTTTATTTTTCCTTTGCAGTAACATCGGGACAAGAAGCCGCCACTCTTGGTGTTTATTGTGTAAAGACGGTTGGTTGAAAGACGGTCACTGCGCACCTATTTGGAAAGACGAAACTGTTACCAGTGGAAACCTGAAGGGTATGCTTGTTTTTTTATCTGGGCTGTGTCCTGTTTGTATGGTCTGTTGGCATTTACAGTGATTTACAGTTGAGAGATAAGTGTATTCTTGACAGCCTTTCAGTTTCCTGGTAAAATGTTTTCTAGACACTTAAACCAAGTATACGTGACGCCAAACATCTGGATAAAAATAGAAAATTCCAATCAAGTATCTGAGAACGTTCACATATCCAGATGTTTGCTATCATGCAGATAATACTTGCCAACTTTGGGGCTGCTTTTTTTGTTGTTTTATCATCCAGATGTTTGGTTTCATCTGAGCACGGTTTTAATGAACAGTGAAATACTTTTCCAGCATTTAAAAAATTTAAACAATTAGAGTAATCTGTGCAGTTATTCTTAAATAGTGAAAGAATGGATTATAATTACATTGAATCTGGTTGCTCTGTGATTAACTGGTGACCTTTGCTTAATGATATCGGCTTTGGGTACTAAACACTTAAAATTTAAAAAGCTAAAATGTAACTGATGGTTGTTTGCCACTGAGAAGATTCCGTCTCATGGTGAGACCCCCTGCGCATGCGCAGTAGAACTGCAGCGTAGGGTTTTTAAGGTTTTCGGAAGAGATCGCCTGTCTTCTGAGGAACTCTGAGTAAATTCAAATTGCCAACCTTTTGGTTAGCAGTCAAGCACTTAGCCATTTGCACCACCCAGGGATGTTGTTAGGTGTTGTCTATTTGGTCCTGTTTCATAAGGACCTCATGTGACTCTGTCTGCCTCACAGGACTGCCTTCTTCAGGGAAGCAGATTGCTGTGGAGTCCTGCTGTGGCGCTGTGTGTTAATGTACTAGCCTGCAAAGCTGTTTGAATTGCAAGGTCGGGAGTTCAAGCTCACCAGCTGCTCCTGGGAAACCCTAGGCAGGGTCGCTATGGGTCGGAGCAGCTGATTAGGAATTTATAATTAAATTCTCTTGTAAGAATAAGTTCCTTAGAAAGCCACATTAGCTACTGTGAGGAGAGCATACCAATGAATTTCATGCCCATGTGTTGCTATAGGATAAGCATTGGACTGCTAACCTCAAGATTAATGGTTCAAACCCACCAGGTACTCTCAGAAGCCCTATACAGGGTCACTATGAGTTGGAACCAACTAATTGACACACAAAACAAAATAAAAACAGCATGGTTGCACTGTAGGATAAGCACTGGACTTCTAACTACAAGGTCAGCAGTTCAAACCCACCAGCCATTCCGCAGAAGAAAGATGACTTTCTGCTCCCATAAAGATATACAGCCTCTGAAGCTCTATACAGAGTCACTACGCTGAGTCAGAACTTACTCAACAGCACCTAACAACAACACATGCTCATTGGAGTCCCTCAGTGGTGCTAATGGTTAAGCACTGGGCTACTAACCAAAACACACAGTGATTCAAACCTGCCAAAAGGTTGTGAGTAGGGCCTGGAGATCTGCTTCTGATAGCTCATGGCCCTGAAAATTCTATGGAACTGTTCTATTCGATACTATGCATACATAGTATTGTCATGTGTTAGAATTGACTCAACAACAGCAACTAACAATAGTAACAAGTGCTTATGGAAGTCGCTGGGAGTGCATATGGTTAATGTATTCAACTGCTAACCAAAAGGTTGGAGGTTTGAGTCCACTCAGTGTCTCCAGAAAGGCCTAGAAATTGACTTCTGAAAAATCAGCCATTAAAACCTTATGGAGGAGGCGGGGCTTGATGGAGGCTAGAGTGGAAGTGCAGTGTTCGATGTCAGCCATACCACAGAATACCAGGCAAAGAAGATCCAGAGTAGAGCTAAGAAACTCAGAACCACATAGCTAGGAATATTTTTTCAATTTGAAGGCTTATAGCTAGTGGAACTTGAAGCTGAAGTAAGAAATTGTGTACTTTTGATTTTGCCAGACTCGGAGGCCCAGAGCCAACATCTTGGATGAGACCAAACAGCAAAACAAAGTGGTGGGAGCAGAAATACCGCAGAAAAACGCCACAGGAACCTTGGAGCAAAGGTAAACAATACACTTTGTTGGTTTCGCTTTATTCTGATTTTCTTTTTTTTTTTTTGGTATCTGGTCATTGGCCACTCCCACTGTTTCCACACCTCTATTCTGCAGGGGGTGGGGTGGATACCCCCCACCTTCACCATGGGTGGGTTCTTCTGCCATGCATGCGCACAGATACTCAGTCCAAGAGCAGGCCCTGAACGTTTTTGTGTTGTTTTTTTTTAATACGGGAAAGGCCAGGAGAGGACTGTAGAGAGTGAAAGAGAGTTTAAAAACAAAACAGGCTGAAAATTAAATTAAAGCCAGAGGTATAGCATAACAACCAACAGTGACATCTTGAAATCTCTCAGGCAGCTTTGAAAGCAAGAAGCTGAAAAGAAGACATTAAAGTCATACTCATATTAGGCTACAGAATTTTTTTTGTTTTCCCTTCTCTCCCTCCTCTCCCTTTTCTGTGATTATAAAATGCAGTATTCAGTCTAGTTTTGTT